GTGGTATAGCACTGGTCCTTGAATTTTCTGTACAGAGGTAACTCGTAGTTGCTGCGATGCTAAACACTGTGACACTGATGTGTCAAATGCAATAATGGTTCCCCATGGTGGACAGTGTTTGGTTGAGCTCCTAGATTAAAACAAGCTTGGAAGCAGGAGTGGCACTGGCTTTCAAAGTAGCTTGCCTCCAGAAACATTATGAACTTAAAGAAATGATGAAAGTATTATAGTAAACATAATACCTAAAATTTGTCAAGTGTTTCTTATTTTCAAGGTCCTCCTTCTAAGTGTTTATTTATTAATTTCATATTCACAATCCTTTGGGGTAGAAGATGGAGGGAATACACAGTCACTGTACCAGAAAGAATTGATTGACACTGAAAAATTTCAGGAAGTACCTTACGAACAGGAGCCACTGGTAATGAAAGAGGAAGTAGAAGCTACATTGAATGCACTGGCAAAAATAAGGCTCCAGGAATCAATGTGATCTGATTGACTTGTTTCAGTTAACAGATGTAGCTTTGAATGCACTCACCAATCTGTGCCAGAAAATTTGGAGGACAGCTGTCTGGCTAAGGGATTGGAAGAGGTCTATATTTGTTCCTATTCCCAAGAAGGATGATCCAACTGATTGTGGAAATTATTGAACAATATCATTGATATCACATGCAAGCAAACTACTGCTGAAGATCATTAAAAAAATGGCTGGAACAGTATATAGATAGGGAATTTCCAGAAGTTCAAACAGAATTTAGAAGAGGCTGTGGTACCAGGTACATTGCTGATGTCAGATGGATTCTGGCTTAAAGTAAGGAATACCAGAAGAATGTCTATTTGTGCTTTATTGATTATGCAAAGGTGTTGGATTGTGTGGATCATGAGAAGTTGTGGCTGACATTTGGAAGAATGGTCATCCCAGAGTACTTGATTGTGCTCATGAGGAACCTATACCTGTAGCAGGAGACTGTTGTGCAAACAGAGTGGGGGAGTACTGCATGGTTTGGAGTTGGGAAGGGAGTGCAACAGGATTGTATTCTCTCTCCATACCTATTCAATCTGTATGCTGAGAAAATGATCCAAGAAGCTGGATTCTATGAAGAGGAGTGTGGCATTAAAATTGGAGGGAGACTCATCAATAACCTGTGTTATGCAGATGAAACAACCTTGCTTGCTGAAAGTAAAGAGGATTTGAAGCATTTGTTGCCGAAGATCAAAGAATGCAGCCTTCAGTATGGATTGTGTCTCAATATCAAGAAAACAAAGATTCTTACAACTGGACCGATAGGCAATATCATGATGGATTGAGAGGAGACTGAAACTGTCAACGGCTTCATCTTGCTTGGATCCACAATTAACACCTGTGGTACAAGCAGTCAGGAAATAAGAAGATGCATTGCAATGGGAAAATCTCCAGTTACTACCTCTCCAGATTATTGAGAAGTAGTGATGTCAGTTTGAGGACTAAGATGTGTCTGATTCAGGCCATGGTCTTTCATGTTACTAGCTATGCATCTGAGTCCTGGACAATGAATAAGGATGAAAGAAAAAGAATTGATGCCTTTGAGCTGTGGTGTTGGAGAAGAGCACTGAACATTACAGGGATGGCCAAGAAAATTAATAGATATGTCTTGGAGAGAGTACATCCAGAGTGCTCTTTGGAGACATGAATGATAAGATTTTGCCTAACATACTTTGGACGTATTGCTAGGAGGTGCTATTCCTTGGAGAAGGATATGGTGTTGGGAAGGGTGGGAGGGTCGGTGAAGGAGAAGACCCTCAACCAGGTGGATTGACAAAGTGACTGCTGTAATAAGCTCTTGTGATAAGGAAGTGTGAGAACAAAGCAGGACAGAACATGGTTCACATCTTTTGTTTATAGAGTCGCTATGAATTGTATTCGACTCGATGGCACCTAACAACAACAACATGGGATAGTTGCCCAAATTTTTTATAGGCAAGAATGCTTTACGCACAGTGATACAAAATCAGAAACCCAATAAATCATAGAACCAGACTATGACCTAGGATTATAATATCCTATGACCTTGGCCACCAACTAAACTTGACATCACCTAATGACAAACAAGGCTAAGTGATTACAAAATTCATCTCTCTCTCTCTCTCTCTCTCACACACACACACACACACACACATGAGGTAACACATGCCAATTCAATATCTTTACACACAGAATTCAGTGACACTAGTTGTATTAATCATGTTGTGTATCCATTTCCAATGTCCATTGTTAAGGTAACATCACCACAAACTGACACTCTTTAAAGAATTATTTCCTTTTTCTCCTCCCTCATACCCTGGACAACACTAATTAAATTTTGTCAAGATTCATTTGGCTACTCTCTGGAAGTTCAAATTCACTAGAACCTTCAATGAAATGTAAAGCCTCTGAAAATCAGTTAAAGTGTGAGATATAAATTGGTTCCAACTTGACAGAACAGAATAAAGCAAAGAAAACCAAATCAAATTCTATTGAATTAATACAGACGTGATAGCACAGGTGGAATGGCCCATGGATTTTCCAGTCTGTAATTTTTATGGGAAAAAGCTGCCATATCCTTCTTTGGCAGAGCAACTGATTAATTCAAACTTCAAAGTTTCAGCTAGTAGCATCTTCTTGTTGTTTGATATCATCACCCTAAGTTGACTATTACAGCAACTCTATGAACAACAGATCTGAGCCTTGCTCTATTTTGTGACATCCTCACTATCTCTGTTATATCTCAGCCATTGCTATAGCCACTGCTGAGGGTCTTCAGTTAGCAGCAGCACACTTTAACCACTGTACCGTAAGGACTCTTTTAGAAACGGCTTTCAATTGCCAATGTCACAAAGTAGTTTCAATAAAAAAAATTGTTCCTTTTCATTGTTCCATGGAGAGTGTGATATTTTCCATCATGGAGGAAAATTGGTGCCAATTAGCTGACATTTGACATCTAATCAGCATAGCTACTGAACATTGGTCTGAGAATGGGGCACTCTCTCAAGTAAGCTGCCTTCTGTAAGATTAAAAGCAGAGAACAAAAATAAAGATGCAACTGTATTTAGGAACACTGGATTCAGAAATTGCTAGAAAAATTCAAAAAAAAAGAGAAGACAGAAGAATTTGCAATTTAGCTACTTTCCAAGCCACAGGCAGCTACCATGTCCTTCAGAGATCAGATTCCCTATTTATGCTGTTGGTGATTGTTATGACAGTTCAGAATGTTAAATAACTAAACAGAGGTATAGTGGGGTGGTACCAACAAATAGATGGTACATTTTAAATTCCTTGGGAGAAAGTTTTCCTTTTTATATAACACTAAATTTTACTGAGGATCTTTACTTTTTAGCCAGAGCCACAACTTGTAAGCATTAACATAATACAGCGTGCTGTTAGATATTGAAGTCACATACATGCCTTTGTTAAAGTGTGTATCTGCCTATCTATTTGGATGTGTGTGTCTGTTTGTCTATCTCTGTATCTAAGTTTTTGTGTCGGTGTGTTTATATGTCTTTGTGAATATGTTTGAATGTTGTTTTTCTCTCTCTCTATGTAATCTACCTCTCTAAATCTCAGCATTCTTATCCTTGGGCAAAGCCTTTACATTATCCTAAAATAGGTTGATGTTAGTCTTGAATCATATCTATTTGTCAGACAGGGCTGCAACACCATCAGCTACCATTAACTCAAAGACCACTTAGGAGACTATGCGTTGTCATCAAGGACCCTACCAAAATAGGAGCTTTCCATTTCCTTGTTTGTTTGTTTTTTTCTTAAAATGTCTTCATTGTGAAAAACATGTATGGGGATAAAAGGTGGGTGAGGGTTGGGAGCAGAAGGGGTAGGATGGGCAGGGATGAAATTGCAGGGCTGCAAAATTTGGTGGGTGTGGAAGGGGAATAGGTGAAGGAAATGATAAAGATCCAGTGGGGAACAGAAGAGACAGGGCAATGGTAAGCATAGTCCAATGGTGATTATTATTATTATTTTTTTAACAAAGAAATTGTCTTATTTACTTGTGGGTTTCTCATTTGGGAATGGGGCACAGACTCTCCAGCTTCTTCATGCTGAACAGGGGTGTTGATGTTAAGGGGGGAAAAGGGAAGGGGAGCCCACTTTAACACCTTACTGGGGGTCCTATGTTGAAGTTGCTTGACTTCTTGTTCTGTTAGAAAATATTTTCCTGAATTTTACTGCCCTCTGGACTGCACAGGTGGGCCGTAGGTGGGTCCAGTGGGGATGGCTGACTGAGCCCTGTGGCCCCACCCTCCTTTGCTTCCTTAGCTAGCAGTTGTATTTCCCTTTTGTCTCTGGAAATGGGTTCAGGGTTTAGGTCTGGAGTAAAATTCAGTGTTACGATTACCTATAGGAAAGGGAACAAATCTAGAGAGAACAAATTTGTGAGTTACAAATAAAGGGCTTTGGTGGTGTTACTTACAGGTGTACTGGGGGAGAAGGTGGAGGAAAATAGCCTAAATAAAACTCTCTGTATACCTTAGCCAGTTTTTCCCAGAGACCTGAAGGCTCTTCCCAGGAGGGTCAGGTGACACACTCCGAGGGTCAAAAGGCATGCCCAGAGGGCAGCCGAATGCCTTACCCTGAGGGCAGAACTGCTCTCCCAGAGGGCCCAGACAGCTCTCCCCAGGGGCTAGATGGCTCACTCCAGGAACTGAACAGCACACTCCAAGGGCCGGGTGACACACTCCGGGGACTGGGTGGCACAACTCTCCTACAGATGTCCTCCCTGTACTGAGGTCTGGACCCTGTACCTCACTGAAGACCATGGCCAGGAACAGTGCCCCCAGTTCCAGTGCTGCCTCCATTATCCTCTTCCTCTCCACCAAGTTGTCAGACTGCTGCAATTCGAAGTAGGCAGGACCCACCATGTACACCCCCCCCTAAATCCCCATCGTCCTGATGCTGAGCTCCAGTACACAATGATGACCAGCAGTCAACTGCTTGACTGTTTGGGCACATTTAAATTGCATGGCCTGCTTCAATGCAGCCCGCTGGGCCTTGTGTTCACCACACTGCATCTCCTGCCACCACTATCTTGGTTCTGATAATTCTTCCCAGAACTAGTCTATTCTGCAGCAGTATGGAGGCTCCACCCCACCAGCCTCGGGGCCCAGTGCCTGTGGTCCATCCCAGGTGAGGGTAGCTCTAGGGTCTGGCTGCGGGAACTTCATGGAGCTGCAGCAGCGGTGTGGTCTCAGCAGTGGGGGTGCTGGGAGTCTCAAGACTCACCCATTCTTCTTTGGGAACCTTTCAACTCTTGATGTTGAGCCTTGATCCATATTGAAGACCAATACTCAATTGTTTAATTGTTCACTTATCAATAAACAGAGGACTACTGTAAAGGGCCATGGTGGCCCATTTCTATGCAGCTTGCTGTTCCTACAGCTCCTTACATTGTTTTCACCACCACCACCATCTTCTATTTTCTTGTTATTTCAATATAGAATATCTATTCTATTAAGAATCACAGATTCTTTAAATTAGATAAACAAATTTACCCACTGCTTTTTTTTGAAGATGGGGACATTTGTCCATAAAGAAGTCTATTACCAAAAATCATAGCAAGTGTGACATACTATCAAAAGCGAGGAGGAGGTGCTAGACATTAGGAAATCTGATCAAAGGACTGTCCTTTCAAAGCAGTACAGGAAGTGCAGCATGATGGTCGTAAAAGAGAATCCTTTGAGGTGCAAATATTAAAAACAACAAAAGTAACTAATATGACACACACAGTCCTGCAATATTCCTAATAACAAAAGAGATCTAGCAGTTGATATGATATAAAACTATATGCTGAACAGATATCAGAAGAAGAGTATGAGTACAGCCACAACTGAATGCACGTTTAGCAAGGACATCTCTCCTCATATAGTTGTTGGGTATAGAGCTCTAGTGGTCTATGGTGTTTCACTGGTAGCCCAAAGGTGGCACCTCTCTCACAATTTGCCAACCGCCAGCAGCTTCATAGAAGAAAGATATGTGACCTCTGCTGGTGTGATTTTTAGCCTCTGCAGATCCTCTGGAGGGTCAGCTATGAGTCAGTTCTGACACAATGGCAATGGATTTTTAAAAATATTTATGTATTTGTAGGTGATACAAATATGTCCAAAGCTATAGTAAAACACATAAGAAGCAAAGTCCTGAAAACTTCTTAGTTATATAAATCATTGAGCGAGCTATCACGCTGACAGGACACAACGAGGTAAATCCCAATAGAATGAGTTGTCATCAAGTCAGAACTGATTCATAGCTGAACTTCCAGAGGTTTTCAGAGGCTGTACATTGCATGGGAGAAGTCTCCCACAGAGCAGATGATGGACTAGAACCACCTGCCTTTAGGTTGGCAGCAAAAATCCTTACCCAAGGCCATCAGAGTCCTCCTAAAGTCAAAGAGCATAGTACAAAAGGACAATGTTCTACTTCTTCATGTGGTTAGTTGTGACTGTGGTCTTACCATCTGTCCAGTAGTACCAAGGATGCAACTATTGATTCTGAGCAAAGAAGAATGAAGGTATCAAAGATCCAAGGAAATACTTTAAAGACTCCATGACCTTGAGACCAGAAGAACTAGATGTTGGCAGTAACCACTACTTACTGCTTTGATCAAGATGATAGTAGAAGGGTCTGGAGAGAGTGGGAGAAAAATAAAATGTGGAACAAAATCACAGAAAAGATGGGTCTGACTGGCTTAATGTAGATTGTGGCATTCCTAAGAGTGTAGCCCTTAGACAACCTTAAATCTGGAACGGAATTCATCCTGGGGATGGAAATCAACTTTTGGCCGAACTGTACACGACTTAATGTACACAGTCATTCTCAGAGGAATGTGCTTTTCAGTACAATCAACAAAACTCAGCTCAACTCATTGCTACTGAGATGGAGCTGACTCAACAGTAACACACTTTTGAGTCTCTGAAGCAGAAAGTCCCATGAGAGGACACTGACCATCCTCCCACAGAGTGGCTGGTAGACTTGAACTGCTGGAAAGGCTTGTTCTTGGGGTTGGCAACAAATCTCCCTGTGGACTCTGCCACCAGAGCTCTTTGTATTAAAAAGTGACATTAGCTTCTGAATCATAATTCTCTTTGTTACTTCCACCCACCCACCCAACTCCTCTACCCTGGGTGAAGAAGATACAGCTTCAGGAAGTGCTGTGCAGGGCGAGTACACTGAAGTCCCACCTTCCCAGCTAGAGCACGAGAGGATGTGGGGCTTGTGACTTGAAAAGTGATAGGAGATTGGAGAGAAGAAAGCCCTCCCACATAACATTATTTACCTCTTGTAGGAAGATATCACTTGCAGAGGGCCGATGCAGAGCATGTGATACATGAATGAGGTGAAACTGAGAGGCCTGGACTCCTCTCCAGTTCTTCTTCTTTCTCTTCACCCCAAGTACCCTACCCCATCTGTGCAGGCAGCTTTGATAACTTCCTAAGGCAGATCTTCGGTTACTTCTAATTTGTGACAGTATTAGGAAAACCACTTTGAACTCCTTGCCCTCTGCTTTAAGAATGACTCTCTTGGCTTGAGTTGCCCAAGGATATTATTGTCATCCTCTCATCTAGTTTCCTTTTGTTCTAAGGTGCAAGAGAAGAAGACATGCTGTGGTTCTTAGCCCTGTTTCTTGTTTTCCTGAATCCCGGTAAGTGCATGCTTGATGCTGAAGGGATTTTTCTGCTTATTTGTTTTAATGGGAGACCATTCTACGTTGTTATTATCATCTTTTATTCATCAGACTTTGCTGTTGTTGTTCCCAATGCAGCACATCTGAAAGATTTCAAGTTGGAAATGAGAATGATGTCAGTCACCAGGCAGGTCGGGACATCCACTACAATCACTTGTGATGTTCTTGATCAGAACATCAACTACATCCACTGGTACCAACACCAAGAAGGAAGAGCCCTCAGACGCCTCCTTTACTATGTGCTTTCCACCTCCAAGAAAGAGTTGGACCCAGGAATCAGTTCAGAGAAATATGATGTTTATAAGTATTCAAGGAGGAACTTTTTTGTACTCTGAAATCTAGAATGGAGTGATTCTGGTGTCTATTACTGTGCCACCTGGATTATGCACAGTGGTTTAGACTTCCTTTATCCTGCACTTCAAATTTTTGCTTGTGGCTGTCAACAGCCCTGGTACAGAAGGAAAACCAGCTTTGTCTCCTCACTTCCTGCCTCTTATATCACTGTACTCTGAACAGTGTGAAAACCCTCAACTCCCTACCCTAACTCCCTAACGTGTTATCCCTCCAAGAAGCTGCATTCACCTTTGTACCATAAGGTCTTCCTACAGACTGATGAGAAAACCAAACTCTAGTCAGACCATCTGACTCACAGCACAGTTATTTCAATACGTGAGGCGCTAGTGGAGCCCCGTTAAACATCTTTCCTAAAACAGAGAAGGCCACCTGGTGTTAACAGCTGAAAAAGACATTTTGGAGAACAGTTAAGTAGATCCTCAAAAAAAGACAATGGCTGCAACAGTAGTTGTACAGGATGAGGTGACATTTCAACCTGTTGTATGTCAAAACCATTGTGACAGCAACTAGTACAATAACTTGTATAATTAGGCTAGTTTGCAGAATTGTTTATCTATTCAGTAATTATGATATTATTTATTTATGTTAGGTTCCAGTAAGACAAGTACCACTCACAGCACATTATAAGCAACAGATCTGAACTCTGTTGTCTCCTGTGCCATCTTCACTCTTTCTGATATCTTGAGTCCATTGCAGCAGTTACTGTGTCAGTTCATATGGTTCAAGGTTTTCCTCAGAAAAACTGGTGGATTTTTCTTCCTCTGAGAAGCTTTTGGATTTGAATCGCATATCTTTGGATTGGCAATGCAATTCCTTACCCACTATAGAGTCTAACAAATTAAGATATACTTATTTTGGATATATTGCTAGAACGTGCTATTCCTTGGAGAAGGACATGATACTGGGAAGGGTGGATGGTCGATGAAGGAGAGGAAGACCCTCAACCAGGTAGATTGACATGGTAACTGCCGCAATGGGCTCTTGTGTGTCAGGAAGTGTGAGGATGACAGAGGATAGGACAGGGTTCAGATCTTTTGTTTATAGGGTCTCTATGAGTGGTACTTGACAACACTTAACAACAACATTTTCTTCTATCCCTGGTGGATTCCGGGAGTGGGGAGGAAACAATAGTCTGTCTCACTGTCCATCACTTTATATTTCAGCTGTCAAAAATATGTTTCTGTTGAAATAGTCTATTATTATTTACAAGCCTATATGTCCACTTACTCATTAAACATTTGCTCAAGCTCTTATGTATCAGTCTCTGGAGCCACGATGACATAGTCCTTGTGCTCAGAGGAACTTCTTTCTGAAACACAACTACAGGTCTCCACTCTCCAGAAGTAAAACAGGAAGAAAGTAACGAAAAGCTCAGAGAATAAAGTCTATAAAATATACAACCTCACCTACTCCGACACTAGAAAACTAGATAGTACCCAGCTACAACTACTCATCATTCTTTCAGGGAATACGATATATGTTTTTAGAAGAAAAATAAAGAGCAGAGCTTAAATTATAATTGTTTTGTTTTTGTTTTTTTTAAAAAAAGGACAATGAGAGAATCTGGAATACTAGAAAACATAAAACTCTTTGAGAATCTCACCCAAGAACTGAACCTGTGCACTCACATCAATTTTTAGTGAAATATCAGTCACTCGCAAAAGGAAGGGGATCGTCCCTAAGGCTAGTGTCTCTAAAACTGTCCAAGTAAGGTGAAATGGCGAACAATTATTGCAAAACAAAGATAAGGGATAAGGGGGCAGAAAACTAGACAACTAGTAATGCAACATCAAAACACAGGAGAATGTTGACCCTTTATGATAAATGTGACTAATGATATTGAAGAAATTGTGTGAAAATGGTCAAATGGGAATTTAACTACTTGTATAAACCTGGGCGTGCGCACGCGCGCGCGCGCGCACACACACACACACACACACACACACACACACACAAATATTTTCTATACCAATAGAAGGACATGGGAGTAGGTGGGGGGAAAAGTTAAACAAAATACAAAATGAGCAGGCTAAGTAGTTTGGTAGAATCACATGGAACATTCTGCTCTCCTTGAGCCCAGAACAAGACTCACTTT